AAGTCAAACATTGATGGCCCCAATCGAGTGCCAGTCAAATTCTAAGCTGATGAACTTGAATTAGCAAAAACTGATCAAATCTGATCGCATGAAACTCGAACTTGAACAAACATAAGCGCCTATCGAGGCCAAATTCGTTGAGAACTTAAACTGGAGAAAGTGGAAGTCTGAAGAATGAAAATCTTTCAAGGGCATGCCAAAAAGGAGTTTCAATTGAATGGGTATTGTGGTAGGAGTGCCGCCGTAAACAGTCGTCTGAATGCCGCTCAACTGAACTGTACGATAATGGCGGATCAGTGCCTTTATGTAGTCGATTCTAAACTGGTTTCGATCTGGAAAAAAATGGCAATGAACTCTGCACCGATGTTTATTCACATTGTGCACTAAAGAGTTAGAGCACGAAAACAAAACAATAAATCGCAAAAAAAGACGAACAGTGAAAAGATTACAATGTGATGCGGTTGGAGACTAGAAACTAGAAAATAGAAACTAGACATGACATAAGCTACGATTTATCATTTATGATTTATGATAGTGACTGGCCTTGGATGGATAAAATTATCGAATGAATCTAACAAAAATGATCAGATAACGATGATTATAGGAATGATATTCAATTCAGACTTCAGCTTTGAACTGAATTCTTATCAGTTAATGGTAATGCAATCAGCGATCACTTAATGGTAATGTAATCAGTGAAGAAATTTTGAATGATGTTGCGCAATTTAGGATCGCTTTTATTCTTTCATTGAAAAGTGTGACTCTTTTTTATTTTCAAAACTCCATTTCCATATGCACTGAAGCATGCATGCATGCATTTGAAAGCATGATTGAATAGGAACCTTAATTCAATTCCATTTTTCCATGGCGAATGCTGTTGTGAAAAAATTCCGGCGAAATAATTTTTTGATAATGAATGGATGAGAAACGTGACGGACGACCCATACATCATCCTAATTGCTGAAGATTCAATTGTGCACGTAACAGAAATCAACGAAAATGGATTTTTTTTTTTGTTAGACTACTTAAATATTTGGCCATTAACGATGTTCTTTTGGTGAAAATGATCATAAATTAAACGTTGTTTTTGCTCATTTACCAATTAGCGTTTTGTATCACTCATAATTGCATCATCCATTCATACAAATGTGTGCAAATGAATGTACATTAGTGGAATTTCAAAATCGGAACACCTTTTTCTTAAGATGTTTATCTTAGAAGTAAACAGAATTAGAAACTTTTTACGGTTAGGTGTCGTAGTCTCATTGTTGTGCTCGTTCACTCTTTGTGCTCCTTATCGTGATGCTCTATTCAATGTTTCTATCATCATTTTTTGCCGTGTACAATAATAACGAAAAAATTTCTGGCACTTAACGCCATTAAAAAAACAAGAAATTGAAAAGTTGCATTTCTTGATGATAACATGAAATGTGCTGAGGATTTAAAAGGAGTAGGACAATTGAAAGAATTTCAGTTTTTTAAGGTTGTAAATGGAAGTTTTGAAGAGAATGTATATCTCACCTCACCTTATGTCAGTAATTGATTCAAGGAGAGGCGGTTTCAGTCGAATTTACTCGTCTTTATTCGTATTTATTGTACAGTAACATGATTTTATGCGCTTGATTCTTATTTAACAGTTTTTCCAGTGATATTACGACCGCAATATTTGTGAGTGCGGACAGACCTAAAGTCGAATAAAATGACCTAAACTTGATTTTTATTCTTCCAGAAATATTTCCGACACATGATGTATAATCGAGATCGATTCAGTTTGTAACGGCAGGTACCCATAGGTATACGTGTACATTTAAGGAAAGTGTTATTCTTATCTTTGTGAATAAATAAATATGAGGAAATGAACAAATGGAATAAGCTAAAGAATGGTTCAGATTGAAACACTTTGAAACTATTAAAAATAGTCGAACTACGGTTGCAATGAAAATATGACGATGATGAAGTGTACGAATTGGAATCGATAAAGTTGAATGTCTTTTGAAGTTGTTTTTAGCTATGCGATAAGGCAGCGATTCTTGATAAGAATTGTACTGAAATGCGATCGAAAAGATTAAGGAGCTCAATCGCTTACATCAAGAATAAAAATCAACTGCACTGATGCTAAGTATGGCTCTAAACTGTAAATTTTCAATCAGTGACATATTACTTCCAATATTCTCACATTTTGATCAATACTTACGTTGGGGTGCGTTTATTGTTACTTGGACATCGAGTGGTTGTTTTGTCAATCGCTGTGAGCAATCGGCGGAATATTTATTTTATTAGAGTTATGATTATTCATTGGATTGATATTTGGCTACGATTAATTATGCTAAGTATTCACGGCAACTAATTAATTACTCGGTTGTGTTCGGTTGGCCTGCTCGCCTAGCTAGCGGGGTGGCGTAAATTGAGGCTAAAACATTGTGCACGGAAACACTGCGAGCATTGCGGCCAGCAACGTTACAAACGTTTGATGACAGCCTGACCAATCCAGGTACTTACGTTCCGTTGGAATTTTCATAGTACCACACACTGCAAATGCAATTTCTCTTAGCATAACAACAACAACAATAACGACAACAATAGCGACGTCTGCATCCGAATCAGCTATCTATTATAGATGAGCTTTATACTTCCGTATTCGATTGGACTGAGTTAGGTATTTACATACTGCATGTGCACGTAATTGGCCTGAATATTCAGTCGTTTGATTTAAAATATTACTTCCTGAACGATCGCGCTTTCTTCGCAGATTCAATAAGTTTAGCGTTTACTTGATGTTTCATTATACTTGAGGTCAAGTTTATTGATGCTTGCACATACATCAAATTAGGCTCTGACCCACTGTCAGACTTGGGCTTGAGCTTAATGCACTCTGAGCTTCTGCAGTGATGACTGCACATTCTCTGTGAATGAAACATTTGAGATGGCAAGCAAAAACTTTTCTGACTGACTGAAGTGTTACCACATAAATATATTTGCATGAACACAAGATTTCATTCGGATTCTGAGACTGTAATGGCTTAATTCTGTTGTAATTCACGAGTTGCGATAGGCGAGCCATCGAAAAATGTCATCAAATTCACTACAAAATAATCTTTATTGACAAGAACCGAAGACACTACTGAAATGCACGTCAGAATTATTTTTTCATCGATGAAGGATCTAAATTGGGTAATTCTTGAGTTTGGTCCAGACCAAGTAGACGTGCAGGATCCGTTGAAAGTTTTTCATACAACTCTGAAAATACAATCCAACTGAAACTTCTGAACAATTGCTTACACTATTCATTTCCCCATGAACAGTTTGTTTTAAAATTCATATTCCATGAAAAATGAAATCGACATGAAGTATTGAAGTCAAAGAACATCAGTTATTGAAAGAATTGCTGGAGACAAATCAAACTGGAAATTTATCAGCTACAAAAAACAAAATAAACATACTCCCCCAGTACGAATCCGGATTGAAATCCGCTTGAAACTGAAGATACACAAAACCACTGAGAAACACCGCGAATGCTATTAATGAATTCTGCAATTTTATTTATTTAAGAATCCGCTAAAAATTTTTTGCAGATGCAAAAATTCCAAGTTCACGGAGACTATTCACTCGATGAATTGTCAATAAAATAACATTTGTACGTGGGTAAATAAACTCTGATGAACATTAATGATAATGAATGTGACAATACAGTTGTTTTTTCAAAAAAAAACGAAATAACCAACTATCAAACGAACCTGTTTGAAAGACAGTTTCTTACCACGCGATGGTAATCGCAGATCACGCATTTCCTTCCAAATCATCTCACCCGTCGGACCCCTAACCAACATCTTCACTAATCTCGTCAATCGCATTTATAACCAATACGTGTACTCGCCAAAACTGAACCCACTCAAAAAAATAACAAATTAATTTTACGTCTCTTATGATTTCTTATCATATACAAGTGGTATGTCTATACTCAGTTATTGACAATAAGCAAAATTGAAATTTATTCTTCGAAACATTAACGAATTTGCGCGCATACATCCCAAACATCTCAGCCTTTCATTAACCCAACCTTTATCACTTCTTCGCTAAATCTCCAACACACTATAATCTTCTTCCGCCTTATCTAATCACTGAAAAATCCGCTATTTTCATGGGTTTATCCCGTATTCTAAGGCACTGTCTATTGGATTCGATGTATGGAAAACATTCGTCAAGTTTGCATATCTTTACTAAAATATCACTTCATGTTCACGATGACTGATTCAAAATGGAATTATTTTAGTTATGATGGTAGGTATGTGACAACCAAACCGTTCGTTTAAATGTGAAAAAATAATGGAATGAGACCAAGAAAATAAAAGTAAATCAATTGATGTTATCTCTTAAGTTCAATCTGTTATTCTTGACAAGAACAATCACAGTCTAGAGAAGATCCAATAAACAGGTGATATACATACATGATAATGCCTGAACATCTGCGAGAATCATTCGACTATCAGAGGGGTATGCGGAGCAGCGCTGGCATACCAAAGTGAAAATATGAAGTTTAAGTATCAACTTTATGGATTACATAGACAAATAAATCCTTATTTGCAGCAATATGAATAGGAAAGATGAATAAAGTCAGCTGATAAAAACTGGAATACGGGAAATGGACATGTTCTTGAACAATAAACAAAGCACCAAATGATCACAAATCGTTGATGATCACAAATAAATCAATTGAGTATTTCTGGTGACTGGAGTTAGAATACTGAATGCTGTTGTTAAACAAGTTAGAATCGAGAAAATATTTCCATTGAAAGAAAGATAAAGAATCAATAAAGAATCATAGAACCGAGTGTAGCAGTCATAATTAAGAAGACAAAAACAGTAATGACAATTGTACTGACAGAAATAAAAACTGCGATAACAATGCTAATCACCTTTATGATGATCAACTAATCATCACGACGGTGATCAACAATAAGAATAACACAACAATAATTCTGCTATATCAAACGTAATCATATCGCACAAATCATAAACAGTAATAAATTACATATGCGCTCGGTTTTACATACAAAAATGCATTGTTCACATAATAACAATTTAAACGAAATAAAATTATGTAAAATCAAAAGAACATCCACGAAAGAACACCGTCTCATTATCAAGCTTGTAATTCTTTCAAATGATTGCTTCAGTTTTCTCGTATCTTTATTACAGAATATTGATGGCATCCGAAATTTCATGTCGGCTGCAATCCGTCCCACATAAAATTTCCCCATTCCAACAGTCGAAATTCCGATCGTCTACTGGAATCGTTCGGTTGGAATCCGACTGTCGGAATTTTAACTGAAACTGTCAAATTTTTCCGACCTATCCTCAGTCAGTTACCATCACGACTACAAGATAATCGATAATCGTGTTGAAAAGAAACAAAAAACTTCTCCTACACACAATAAGATTGCAAAAGTAACAAATGCACACACACACAATTAACAAATTCACATTCGGGATGTAAGACCACTGCCCTTACTCCTTCCCATGTTCCCTTACTAAAACCACTAACTTACCAAATAAATCTTCATTTCACTTCAACACTCAAATTTCACCAAACAGCTAACACAGTTTCAGTCATTCATTCCTTTCCGAATATACGCAATAACTAAATAATCACTATTCTCTCAATCTATTAACATTTCAACATTAAAACCTAACAAAACAATCATCAAAATGAATCGCATAACATGTAGCACGAAAAGCTTCGAGAGTTCAGAGTTTGTAAACGCATTCAATTGGTTATAATAATGACAATGGAGTGAATTTAATATGATAATTTAATATGATAATAATTTAATATGGTAACAAAACGATGCTTTTACAAATA